TTTGCATTCGCCGTGTGCCAGAGAAGTCAGGAAAAATGTGAGGTGTTGATGGCACAGATGAAATTGTAGCAGAAATAAAATTGAGACACAAGAAGTAGCAGACAAAAAATAATAATCTATCACAGAAACACTATGAGGCAAATTCCCTGATCATACAACTCTATTGAAGGCAAGGTATCTAAGCCACCTGGGAACTGGGCTATAAAAATAAGATGACAAGACCTGCATGTCCACGGAGAGGTGCTGGAAACTTACTTTAGTTAGTTAAATGCAACCGTTCTTTCTTTAAAATAAAAAAAAATCTTCCTTATGTATTTTAGGGGTGATCTTTCTAGTTGAAAAGTCTCCTTAAAAGCAGTGAGAGAGAGAGAAAGAAAGGACTGAGGAGAGTTAAATGTATAAAGACGTGAATGAATTAGGAACTGAAGCAGTGTTTTAGAGGAATGTGCATCTGAATGGTGCAAATTTACAGGGCTATTTTTGATGAACTGTAAGAGGAATTTCAGTTTTTCAGCACCTTTCTTTACGGAAAGAAAAACCTTCTTCTGGTGGGAATTCAGTCAATTTCCTGATGGTTGTTTGGCCATTTCCTAAGTTGCAAGGTTACTAATGGTAATTACAGACCCTGTTTGTACCTTGTGGCTCTGTGCAGAAAGGTTTTCTTGGCACGTGTGCCTCTCCTGCTAGAGGGTTTTTAAGTGACTGGCCCTTGCTAGGATTTGCTGAAATACTCATGAGCAAAGAGAAGCCACCTCATTGCTTTCTTACAGAATATCACAACCGCTTCTCACTTGCATTTTTCTGCCTCCATCCCCCATGACAATAAACCACAATTTCAGTGTTCATTACAACAGCTCTTACTACAGCATTGTTGCAAAGGAGCCTGTTTTAAGATGCTTTATTAAAAGGTGTAACAAACTTGCTCCTTTTGAGAATTTCACACAAACAGAGATGGTATAAAGGAGACAAACCAATTCAATAACAATTGTAAAAAAAGGTACAATTTTTCAAGCCAAAAAAGGCTTTGTTTTTTTAAGGGAGGAAGACAGTGCACTGAAAAGCAATTAGATGTTCTATTCCTTTTACGTCTCTCCAGTGTGAAAGTACCAATATGTTTGACTCAATGCAGCAAAATATCTACCAATATTTCAAAGACCTCTTACACACTATTACTATGTTAAACTGGTCCTTACTGCAACACCACTTCCTTCCCTATTTCATTTACATTCAGGCCTTAGTTTTTGTACCTTTCAGATTCCTACTCTGCAAAACATTTAACATGTGTAGGTTTTGGCCAGTGAGTAATCCCATTTGCACTCACTGTACTGAACTCACATAGTTCATGAATGAATTGAAGTCAGTGAGTTTGAAGGTTTTCAACTCATGTTTAAAATCAAAGTGGTGCCCAAGTCTCTGTGGATGACTAAAGTAAAGCTCAACTATAAGACATTCCCCCCTCCGCCCCATCCTTCCTTTTGTGTTCAATAATTTCTATGCATTTTGCTCACAAATAGGAAGTGTGAACTTGGTCTTCTGCCACCACTGGAATAGCTTGGGAGAGAATTACATAGATTTTTTTTTCTAAAGCAGTGTCTTTATTTCATGGGAGAGTGCCACAGAAACTGTACAAGCTGTCGGAATTGGGTTCTGTCATTGTGAAGTGTATTTTGAAGGTTAAATGGACAAAACCCAGAGAGCGGTCTTAGCAAAGTCAGGATTGCAGAAATATGAGTGAAATCCTCTTTTTCTTTGCCCAGCTGCAGGTGTGTCTCATGGACATCCTGCAACTCTTGCTCCCTCCTGTAATTTCCCTTCAGCTCAAGAATTCGTTTAGCTATGCCTGAGCCAGACTACTCAGCAAGTGAAGAACTGACAATAAAATGTTGTATTCAAGCTCAGGCATTAGCATTATGATTTGCAGGTTATCAGAACATGTGCTTATGGTCTTCCATCCCTCACAGGCTCATGGTTTTGAGAGCCACAAACACTACATTACATCACATCCCTTTAAACCAACCTTCAAAGTTCACAGAGCATCCATCCTTGACTACTGCACCATAGATGTGTTATGCTGCAACACAAACCCCGGGCATAGCATCTGAAGCGAGGCTGGGGTCTGAGTCATGGAGGAGTAAGATTTCATTAGTATGTTCAGGATTTAGCTTTTCAAGAAAGAAATGCCAACAGAATGTGATTCAATCTTTGCCACCGCATTTCCATATCTTTTTGTTATGAAGGTTAGGTTAGGAAAGCCAACCTAACCTGATAGAATTAAATGTGGCCAGGGACATCAAGGGCAACAAGAAAAGCTTCCATAGGTAAGTCGGTGATAAAAGGAAGACTAGGGAAAATGTGGGCCCTCCCTGGAAGCAAATGGGAAACCTGATTGCCCAGGATACGGAGAAGGCTGAGGTACTCTATGACTTTTTTGCCTCACTCTTCATCAGAAAGTACTCCAGCCACATTCTCCAAGTCACAGATGACAAAGGGAGAACGAAGAACCCCCCACTGTAGGAGAAGATCAGATTCAAGACCATCTAAGGACCCTGAAGGTGCACAAGTCCGTGGGACACATGAGGTGCATCCACGGATCGTGGGTGAAAGTGGCTAAGCCATTGTCATTACATTTGAGAAGTTGTGGTAGTCCAGTGAAGTTCCCAGTGATTGTTAAAAGGGAAACATAACCCCCATTTTTAAAAAGAGAAAAAAGGAAGACCTAGGGAACTACAGTCCGGTCATTCTCACCCTTGTGCCCAGCAAGATCATGGAGCACATCCTCCTGGAAACCTTGCTAAGGCACGTGGAAAATAAGGAGGTGAATGGTGACAGCCAAGATGTCTTCACTAGGGGCAAATGGTGCCTTGACAAATGTGGTGGCCTTCTACGATGGGATTACTGCTTTGGTGGATAAGGGAAGAGCAACTGATGTCATCTACCTGGACTAGTGCAAAGAATTTGACACCGTCCCACATGATGTCCTTGTCTTTAAATTGGAGAGACATGCATTCGATGGATGGACCACTCGGTGGATAAGGAACTGGCTGGATGGTTGCACTCAAAGAATTGCAGTCAATGGCTTGATGTTCAAGTGGAGACCAGTGACAAGTGATGTTCCTTAGGGGTCAGTACTGGGACCAGTGATGTTTAATATCTTTGTTGGCTACTTGGACAGTTGGATCGAGTGCACCCTCAGCAAGTCTGACGACGACACCAAGCTGTGTGATGCGGTAAACATGCTGGAGGGAAGGGATGCCATCCAGAGGGACCTTGACAAGCTTGAGAGGTGGGCCTGAGAGGTACAAGGCCAAGTCCAAGGTCGTACACATGGGTCGGAATCTCAAGCACAAATACGGGCTGGGCGGAAAATGGATTGAGAGCAGCCCTGAGAAGAAAAACACTGGGGTACTGGTTGACCAGAAGCTCAATATGAACGAGCAACATGCACTCACAGCCCAGAAGGGCAACCGTATCCTGAGCTGCATTCCCAGCATCGTGACCAGCAGGGGAAGGGAGAGGATTCTGCCACTACTCCGCTCTGGTGAGACCTCAGTGGGAGTCCTGCATCCAGCTCTGAAGCCCTCAGCACAGGACAGACATCAACCTGTTGGAGCAGAGTGCCACGAAGATGATCAGAGGGCCAGAGTACCTCTCCTACGAGGACAGGCTGAGGGAGCTGAGGCTGTTCAGCCTGGAGAAGAGAAGGCTCCGGGGTGACCTTAGAGCAGCTGTCCAGGACCTGAAGGGGCCTATAGGAAGGATGGAGAGGGACTTTTCACAAGGGTGTGTAGTGATAGGACAAGGGGGAACAGCCCTAAACTAAAAGAGGGCAGATTTGGATTAGATATTAGGAAGAAATTCTTCACCATGAGGGTGGTAAAGCACTGGCACAGGTTGCCCAGCGAAGCTGTGGATGCCCCCTCCTGGGCAGTGTTCAAGGCCAGGCTGGACGGGGCTTTGAGCACCCTGATCTAGTGGAAGGTGTCCATGCCCATGGCAGGGTCATTGGAACTGGTTGATCTTTAAGATTACTTCCAACCCAAACAGTCCATGACTCTACGGTCCTATGGTCCTACGATTCTATGATTTTATGAAAAAGACCAAGAACTGATAGGTGTTTTCTGGTCTTCTTTCTTTCCGTTTTTAAGCACTGGTAGTAAACCATAATATCCTGATGTGGCATTTAAAGACTTGGTTTCTGTTCTTTCGCAGTCAGGAGGACTCAGTTCCTGAGAGCCTCAGCCATGATATTAATTTTCTCTGTGTGAAGATGTGTATGCTTGCATTCCGGTGCATATATACATTGGTTTTCCCACAGGCATAAATCCCAGTCCATGCTGTTACATGAAGCAAAGCACTGTCATTTATTTACACTTTATCATCTATGCTTAAGTTCTAATATCTTTCCAGCTAAGTAAAGACAAGCCCTCTGAATACGAAGACATTTGCATCTGATTTCCATCCATATCTTACACTTTCATTCTTTTCTCCCTCTCCCTTCCAACTTGCATTCTTACATCTTCTCATTATTTTGTTCATTCTTCCTAACCTCACTATCTATCAGAACACTTTTAAACCATAGGACAGCATTTTTCCAAAGTCCTCCGGCTGCTCAAATAGAGATGTTTCAGCATGGCCTGATTTCGCAGAGATTAGGTGACTGATGCACTGAATACGTGCCTTCTGGTGGTGTCTGAATCACTTCCCATGGAAAGAAGACACAGAAAATCACAATCAGTTTCAAATCCCCAAGTGCATGCCCAGTTCAGACAGATGCACGCTGCTGCGCGTCTGCGTCCCGCTATCTGTGGCAATTATTAAATGAGTCACACATAATTGAGACTTGTTTTCCATTGCTAATTGTTCTAAGAGGGTTTTCCTGCAGTCCATTAAGCAACATTTCTTTTGTTCAGCGCAAGAACGTATAAAGCGGGCATATAAATTAGTCTTCGGGTGCCCAAAGGCATGAACTTAGATCCTATTTCTTTTATTCTCTCTTTCAGGTTATTCCGATCTGACCACCACACAGACGTCATTATTTTAATGTTGAATATTCAGACAAGGGTGCCATGGATGTAAAAGAAAGGAAACCGTATCGATCTCTGACTCGGCGCCGTGACACTGAGCGTCGCTATACCAGCTCTTCAGCCGAGAGTGAGGACAGCAAGGTACCCCAGAAGTCCTACAGCTCTAGCGAGACCCTGAAGGCTTATGATCAAGACTCCAGGTTGACCTACAGCAATCGGGTCAAAGACATGGTGCACCAGGAGGCAGACGAATTCTGCCGAACAGGTGAGTACATTTCAGCAGATGCTGCTGTAAGCAGCATGAGTTAATCAGCTGAGAGCTGGGGCTTAGTGGCAGGTTACCTTTGAAGGACCCTGAGGCCAAAAGCAAGATATAAGGAAGGAGCAGCAAGGAACATCTTCATTGTACTGCACAGAGGTGGGACGCATGCAAACCATGTCCAGAAGTGGGATACCACTAGCCTGTGTTCATTAGCATCTAATTAGACACATTTTCTGTGTCTTAGTCCTTCTGCCTCCAACATCCCTTTGCCACTTCTCACCATGAGACCAGTCCCCCTCTTCACATGCTGCACAGAACCGACGCGGCGTGGAAAGTCCCTGCCTGCTCAGGAGACTTTTTCACTATGTCAGGTGCCTGCTCTGTCATGAAAGAACTCCACAAGGATCATAGAAATCATAGAAATCATAGAAAGTTTGGGGTTGGAAGGGACCCCTAGAGGTCATCTAGTCCAACCAACCAGTTCCAGTGTTTCACCGCCCTCATTGTAAAGAATTTCTTCCTTATATCCAGCCTAAAGCTACCCTGTTTTAGTTTAAAACCATTACGCCTCGTCCTGTCACTGCTGTCTCTACTAAAAAGTTTGTCCCCATCTTTCCTATAGGCTCCCTTTAAGTACTGAAATGCTGCAATCAGGTCTCCCCGCAGCCTTCTCTTCTCCAGGCTGAACAAGCCCAACTCTCTCAGCCTGTCCTCGTAGGAGAGGTGCTCCAGCCCTCGGATCATTTTTGTAGCCCTCCTTTGGACCCGCTCCAACAGTTCCATGTCCTTCTTGTGCTGAGGGCTCCAGAGCTGAACGCAGTACTCCAGGTGAGGTCTCACCAGAGCAGAGTAGAGGGGCAGAATCACCTCTCTCGACCTGCTGGCCACGCTTCTCCTGATGCAGCCCAGGACACGGTTGGCCCTCTGGGCTGCCAGCACACATTGCCGGCTCATGTCCAGCCTTTCGTCTATCAGTACCCCCAAGTCCCTCTCAGCAGGGCTGCTCTCGATCCTTTCATCCCCCAGCCTGTATTGATAGCGGGGATTACCCCGACCCAGGTGTAGGACCTTGCACTTGGCCTTGTTGAACCTCATGAGGTTCACACAGGCCCACCTCTCCAGCTTGTCCAGGTGCCGAGACTGAAGACAATGAGGAGACAGTGCCACTGTCCACATTGTCAATCTGCGCTACAGCAAAACCCTAGAAGCCTGGAAGAAGGGAGGCAACTGAGCTGCAGATGGGATGAACCACCCTTGGCACTGTGCACTGCCTGCAGGCTGTAGGTGTGAAGTGGGGACATGCTCCAGTATTAGAAGAGTGGTAAAGAACCACTTTGCGGACTTATAGGAGTCCATTTAGTGAGTCTGGGTCATAGTTGCTGTGAAGATGTGAAGACTCGAGGATCAGCGTGGGCTCCACAGTCCTAATAGAGATACCAGATATTCTCCTCATTTATTGCTAGACTGAAGTCAGTGCAGTTACATTTTCAGTGCTGCTGTTGCCTACGCGAGGTAGATTTCTGGCCCCTGCTGTAGTCTCATCTTCATTTTTCTGTAGTGACACGAGCGTCTTACTTCAGAAACCAAGCAGGGCTTCACATAAATTATTTTTAGAAGTCCATCAAGCAAAGCATAAAATGGCAAAGTCAGTCAAATGGACTAGGCAGCATTCCAGACAATGAGCATAAAATAGCTGACCCAGGCTGCTCTGAGCTCACCCTCTGCAGTTTGGAGAAGCTGATTCCCCAAAGCGAATGCACACAACTGCACTCATTTAACTTGGGGGCTGTTTATTTTCATCTTCCAACTCCGTGCAGTTGTGGTTTTGGTGCAAGACTCCTCTTTAAAGCATGCATAAGTAAAACAACTTGAAGACTCATCTTTGCGCACATGGCTTTGGTGTTTGTACTTCAGGATAACTGCAACAGCCAACAATTAACAAAAGAGCCAACAGGTGTTGTAAGTAACACTTTGCAATCATAGAAGGAGCTTCCCTCTTAGCAACTCTGAAGTACTTCATCCCCTCTAAGGAACCTATGGAGATACAAAGAAGAGGAAACCTTTTAGGTCATTGAGTTTGCTCAGTCCATACAATATATTCACCGTGCAGGATAGATGTGAATTAGTACAGGTCAGCGGTTTTCAACCTGAGGGTCTATGAGGCCATGCAGGTCCATGGACCTCTCCTAAGAACCCCACAAAAGATAAATACGAAAAGCCAGTCTGTTGACAGGGAGAATAAATTTGCTATACACAAGTTCATATTTCCTTAGGAAAATTCTGTTGGGTACTGAGAAATAGTAAAAACCACTGGTCTAAGTGCCTGAAATTAGTTGGGAAGCAGTTAAGATTAACCAAGTCAGGGGGCCAATTCTACTTCTGATACATCACCCACAGATTTTTAAATTTATAATTTTCTCCCAGTTTATCCTGAGAGTCCCAAAACTGGCCTGAAGAGTGTTAACAACAACCCCAGACTTCCTGTGCCAGTTTTTCCACCGGCAGGGAGCCATGAATGGACCTCACTTTATGGTGCTTCTTGGCCTCATGCCAACTGAAACCAGGCCTTATTATCCTGCTCGACATGAACTAGGCAAAGTGAATTTCTCTCCTGCATTGGTCTGGAAGGCAGAGGAGGGAAACATTTCAAATTGACCAAATAAATTCAGTAAATAAACAAGTCAGCATTTAAATGGTTTTAGCTAGAGTGAGAGTGCCAGCAAACGTGCAAGTCAGCACAGGAAAAAATAGACTAGATCTGAATTTAAAAGTCTCAGATATTTATTATCTTCCTTTTATTGACTTGAGTTCTTCCAGCTTAAAAGGCAGCAGTGAGGATAGAATATGAAAATCAATGCATCTCCTGCTGTTTATTGCAAATAAATTTGATTTTCAGTTAATTGTAGCAGTCATTTTTCATAATTTATGAGCTGCTGTTACTGGAGATATCACGCTGCACATTGATGTGTCTGATGACGTTGAATGTGGCTTGTTTCAGGGGAAGGTGGAACTCACCATCAGTGACTCAAACAGACAAGCAAAACCAAAAGATGATGTTTTCCAGTACCAGAGAATGGTTTAAAAACTATCCTGGCCTTGCACAAAAGTCAAAACTGGAAAGAGAAGAGCAAGGTCTCTGGGGAGATACTGCTTCCTTGTGTTTATAACCTAGGTCATGTTCATTTGCTACATCACGCGGTGGAGTGGTAGAGGACGCTCTCTCAGACTGCTTTGCAATCAAGTTAAATGGATTAATTTGCCACAAGCCTGCACTGTGCTCCCTGAGCAAGGCTCTGGGATTCGACAGAGGTGTGAGCTCCAAGCAACCTTATCTGTCCACTCTGAAAGCTTTAATCTTGTTCGGTCAATTAAAAAGGTGTGACTTTCATGAATGCTTTATATAGTTTGAGTGCTGTCTGCTGTAGGTCCATAACCAGTTGAACCATGGTTATTTCCTCCTGACATCAAACAGCTCCTCCTCTGAGATTTACACGGAAATGTTGTCCAGAGTCATTATTCATCTTGCATTCAAACATCTTCCTTCTGTTCACTATGAGCTGCAAAGTCAACTGAACGAAAAAGTCTAGTAAAATATCATCTACTTGTGGCCAACTCCTCATTTAGTACGTATGTGCTATGACACAAGAGATCTTCCCCATGCAGCAGGGCTGAGGGACAAACCAGGGTGTTTCCATAAGCATGAAACCAGACTCTGGAAAAGTAGAAGTCTGACTGTTTCTATTGAACATACATTTTCCACCACGTGATATTTAACATCAACAAATGGAAACGTCAGGAGAGTCACATGCTTGTGTGGTTTAGAGCAGGGAGAGAATCGTAACTCAGTTTTGGGTACAATCCTGAGGCCCTGACCCGATGAACAGATTTCAATAATGTGTAGATATGAACATCACTGTTCAAAGCTAGATTTGGGCCTGAACTTTCCTGGAGATCATGCATTCAGATTTATCTTGTTGAAACACGTCTGAGCTGCTAAAACAGAGTCTGTGGCCTGTGCCACAGATTCAGCAGGTTCCACCTCTCTTTTTATTGCAGACGATTTACTTCTTGAAATAATAGGAGGAAGCCAGTTAGACTGAATTTGATCACTGGTGTTGATATTTAGCCATGATACAGGGCCTGATGCCTCCCACTGGTTGTAGATGAAATTCCTTAATCCATCCCATCAAGGTATAGAGCAGCAGGAGCAAGGGTGCATTGTGCCATATAAATGCACGGTGCAGCTAAAGGCATTCATGGGCGGCCAAAATCTTTTAAAAACATTCAGGGCTGAAAAATAAAGCCACACATTAATAAATAAATGTGGATTAAAATGGAGGCACTAATTGCTCTCCCCAGCTTTCTCATGCAACTTTCTAAACAAAGTGTGTTAATACTTGAAGCCTCTTTCACATCGATTTGGTCTGATTTTGAAGCTCTGCAGGTAACTACACATGAACTCAAGAGTCATTTTTCAGGTTATATTTTTAGTCAGCTAAACAATTGCATCTATTTGCAGCCAAATAACCTCTGCTGTGATTGTATCAGAATGAATAGCTAAACTGAGTCAAGGTATGAGTGGTCAGCAAGGGGAAAGTGAGATCGCCAAAGGAAATTTAAATTCTCAGCACGTAATTTCAGGGATTTCAATGAGCAGAACTCACTCAAATTTCCTGTTGTAGTAGACTTGCCAGGTGTATGGTAGGAGTTTTGGTCACTGCATACTTCATCTTGCTTTTCTCCCAAGAAGATTACTTTTTGCCTCTCATAAAGAATTCAACCACTTCTCCATCCGTCCTTGCCATCAAATTTGATGATTTAGTTCAACATATCTTGAGTTTTTATCAGGTTCCAGAAGCAGGAATCCAGCTGCTTTTTGGTCTTGGCATGGTCACTTGGTCTCACACTAAGCAAGACCACAAAACAGGGGAATCTTTAGTATGATGTTAGGACTCGGGAGATGCAATGCCCCACTTGAAGACGGAGGGTGAGTGGTTCTGCCATTGACTTGGACTAGACGAAACCATCCCCTATTAAAGAGTAACCAGGCTGCTGTGTTTTCTCCCAGGAGCCAACTTCTCTTTGAGAGAGCTGGGTCTTGAAGACGTGACACCCACTCATGGGACTTTGTACCGGACTGATATCGGGCTGCCTCACTGCGGCTACTCCATCAGCGCTGGCTCGGATGCCGACACGGAGGCAGACGTGGTCATGTCACCTGAGCACCCCGTGAGGCTCTGGGGACGCAACACCAAGTCTGGACGCAGCTCCTGCTTGTCAAGCCGGGCCAACTCCAACCTCACCCTCACCGACACAGAGCATGAGAACACAGAAACCGGTAAGTGGTGAAAGCACACGCGATGTCAGCCTTATTCTTCCTTAGGTTTTGTGTTTGGTTTTTTTAATCAGACTCAGTGAAAACACTCTTCTAATAGCCCCATGTCGTGGCCTTTTGTGCTGTCCTACAGAGTGTTTGTTAATAAACTGCTAGAGAAGCTCCCACTTATTTGTCACAGCGACAGAGATCATTAAGTGGCTGTAATACTCTCTCTGCTTTTTGTAGCGACCTTTCAGACAAAAAGCATTTAAATCTCCCCTCCCCTTGCTGATGCTGCTCTTATCTTTTCTACAGATTTTCAGGGCAGATAATTTCCTTCTTTTCCTTGCTGGTTCCTTGACAGGAGCCGTTTCATTTATGTAAATCAGCTGACTGCTCTGAAGGAAAATGATGGTGAAATATTTTTAGAAGCCTTTTTCTTTGTGCGAAATAAAAGCTGAAGGTCACAGATTTTTTTATCTCTGTAACTTTGTGTCCACAGCTGCAGGGACTCCTGCGTGCGTTCTGCAAGTCTGCGAACCTTTTGGTCAGCAGTTCTGCCAAGCACTGTAGGAAGGAGAGAGGATTTTTGATTCAATTGCAGCTTGACCCGGGGGTTCACACAGCCCTATATGCCTTTGCACCTTTAATTCAATTATGGCACAGCCTGCTTCTTAATATAGCCGCTGCGTACAAGTCATCGGGAGCTTGAGCTCAGCGCAGAAATCTGATGTGAAATGACTGTATTGCATGTTCTCTTTATGCTTTTTTTGCCACAGTATTATAGTGACAAATGATGATATCTTTTCCTTAGGAAGCCATGACATGGTGAGACATATACCACCCACATGATTTTATGTTTAACTCCAACAAATTTATAGTAGAAACTTATTAAGTTTCTGCTCAGAGATAATGATATATTAGGCAAAGTCCAAAGATAAACAGCCTTGTGTTTAAAGGATGTACAGAAGAATCTTTTTAAATTATCTTTACAATATTTCTTAAAGTTTCTTAGTGTGGTATCTTACAGGGTTTCACCCATTAGGACAGGCAGACACACAGTGCCAGATCGTATCATTTTCCTTCCAAGTCTTGTGTTTCAATGAAAAACTAGGGGGATCACCAGGGTCAATTAGAGTTTTGCACACACCCAAGAAATCACTAGAAAACCACCAAAAAGCAAACACCTTTTACTTCCATCCCATTCCCCAAAAGCTCTCTCTTGTGCTTTTCTTGGTGGTGTACGAGCAGCTGTGATCCTATCCCATACATTTTTCTTTCCATGCCTATGAAGAAAAGCAAAGTGCAGAACTGTAGTCTTTTATTTCCTTGAGGGAGAAGAATTACATTAGCTGCCGGAGTGTTTTTCACTGGTTTCTGTAATGCTATCTCTACATGTGCAAATGCAACTTGGTACCTACAGATCACTTACAAACGAAATTATATTAGCAACAACACATTAGCAACAGCACATGCCCTGAAAGGCTTTACTGAAACTAATAACAGAGGCAGTAGTACTCATGTCAGGACTGAGACAACCTCCAATTCCTTTTCCCTTAAATTTGATGACACACTAACCATTTGTTGAACCACTGTTTCATATTAGAAAAGGGAAGACAGAAAGGTGAAAAACACTCCTGCAAGTTTTGTAAGTGCTGTACAAATGTAGAATGAGTTTCTTTGGGCCCTAGGCATTTGTAGTCTTAGATGTTGAGTGTTTTGAATGAGAAAGGCTATATCATACTCAAAAATAGAAAGTCTGCATAGCATAAATAAAATCTAGAGAGCAGTGGTGTCCAGTATGTAATTGTATTGTTCATGTTGACAAAAAAGAGGAACTCGAGAGAAAATACAAGGATCCAAACTGTGCTGTTGGGGAGCTTCAGCTGATGCTTAGACTTCTGTGGGAAGATGGCAGAGACTTCAGCCAGGTTCAGGTCAGAAAAACTAGTCTACAGCTGAGAGAAAGACATAACATTTCAATAGAAGGATTGCAGTTGAACCAGTGGTGTAATCATATCCAAAGAAAGGTTGAAAGGGAAGAAGAAAAGAAGGACTAAGGACAAGTCTTAACTATACACAAAATTTGGACATTTTCATTTTGTAATTGCACGGCACAGATAAAAGTGTGAGAAACTTTTGCACAAAAACCTCTCATAAACTGGAATCTGCTGTTGCAGAAAATGGAGCCCGAGATCCTCTCAGAAATTTTGCCTAGCAAACACAAAGGTTGTTCCATGTTTCCTCCTTGTGTACAGAAGCCGTGTTACTCTGGGCCTTCTGCTGCTAGCTATCACACAGGCTATTTTGAGAAATCCCAGATTTATAGGAGAAATGTTTTCAAGAAGACATGAAATTTTGCTAATGGCAGCATAAAGTAACATAATGCTATGACTCAGTTTACAGGATACCTTTCTAAGTCAATATTAATTGTTGACAGTATTGATAGAAGTTATAGCCTTTAGCTGAAGTCAATATGGAGCTTTATGAACCTGCCATCAATAGAAGATTTTATGGGCCCCATTAAACCAACTTTTCCAACGAAGGTTAACGTCAGCGATTTTTATGCTGTTCATTATTTATCCAAAATAAATAATCAGAATTTGCTTCTGATGTTTGTAAATCCAAAGCTGTCAAAGCCTGATTCTACCAAGACATTTATTATGTTCTTAGAAAATGAGAGTTCTGGCTCCCTTGAAAAGCAGGTTTGCTTTTATTTGAGGAGTGCTGATGCCTTGAAGGAACAGATACACTGCTTTGTAAGTGCAGCCACAATCCACCCCTCTGCCTTTAAGGAAACCGATGAAGGAGTCTGGTTCCATGGCATACAATAGTCCATAAATCACTCACATAGGCAGCTGGCATGAAAAGCCATGTGCTGCTTTATCTAAACTGTTGCCAGGCGTCCCAGGAGGTTGAATACTTATCTAGGTTAAGAGTTTGTTTTCACTGAAGAGTTAGCTTGAGTTCTAACTGTGGCATTGCCCTGAGCTCAGATCCTGCACAGTCAAACATCCCCTATGGCTGCCTCTGCATCGGGCAGTGCTTTTCACTCAACCTGGATGGTCACTTTGCAGAGCATGGGGACAGAGGGGACAGCTCAAGTTACTGCACCTTGTCCAGGGATAATGAAAACACTCTGTGCTGTGAAAGTGGCAGGCACTTCACGTACCTCAAGGGCTATCCTGCAGCTTGACCATCCAGGCTAACCTGAAATTATGAACTCCCATTAACAGTTCAGATCCATGCGTGGGGAGGAGTTTGGTTCCTGGAAGCCTGGCAATGAAGACGGGAGTACCTGCTTCCTATATTATTTCGCACTGTTTCTCAGCAAGACTGATTCAAGCAAAAGAAGTTCCTGAAGTGGTTGTTTGGATCTGAGCCTGGAGTTAACCGGCATTACCTTAGGTAACCCTGGACAGGCTTTGTACTGAGACAGCAATTGTTTAATGTAGAGAAGAGCACAACGAAGGAGAACAAGGTAATAGTCTTCCAGAAATTGACTTATTTTTCAGCAATTCAGCCACATACTAAAAGCAAAATACTTATAATCATAAAGACATCATCATAAAAATACAGTACCACAGAATAATTTATGTTCGAACGCATTGCTGCAGATCCCTTTTCCAGTCTAATGCCTAAAGCATGGGCTAACTTTGAGGTCAGACCAGGTTGCCCAGTTACACTTTGAGAATCTCCCAGGATGGAGAGGCCACAACCTCTATGTCCTGATTTTGGTGCTGACCACCTTTATTGTGAACAACTCTTCTCCTAAGAGCTAGGCAGAATTTCCAGTGCCACAACTCATATCCATTACCTCTCTTCCACTCACTGACCATCTCCCAGAACAGGCTGGCTCCATCTTCTGTGTATTCCCACACCTAAAATAATTGAAAGACAGAAGCTAGATCTCCCTTTAGCCACCTCTTTCCAGAGCTGAACAAAGACACCTAGACCCTCCTCTCCTTGTAAATAGTTTGTAGGCAGTTAGGCACTGGAAGAGGTTGTTGGAGGAGTCTGGGGAACTTCAGGGCTAAAAGTTTTAAAGTGTAAACTAGAGAAACAGCTGCTGAGAGTGGTCTAGATTGGATGCTGCCTGAGTTATAGTGGTTTTACATGCTGGTGTCTTGAGAATGTGTCTTTTCTGCTGGGCAGCAGGAGTAGGGAAGTCATTGTGCCCCTGTATTCTGCACTCATGAGGCTGCACCTTGAATACTGTGGTCAGTTTTGGGTCCCTCACTACAAGAAGGACATTGAGGTGCTGGAGCTTGTCCAGAGAAGAGCAATGAGGCTGGTGAAGGATCTAGAGGACAAGTCTTATGAGAAGTGGCTGAGGGAACTGGGGTTGTTTAGTTTGGAGAAGAGAAGGCTAGGGGGAGACCTTATCGCTCTCTACAACTACCCGAAAGGAGGTTGTAGTGAAGTGGAGGTTGGCCTTTTCTCCCAACTAACTAGCAATAGGACAAGGGGAAATGGCCTCAAGTTGCACCAGGGGATGTTTAGATTGGATATTAGGAAAAATTTCTTCACTGAATAGGTTGTCTGGCATTGGAACAGGCTGCCCAGGGAAATGGTTGAGTCAACATACTTGCAGGTATTTAAAAGATGTGCTGTGGCACTTAGGGACATGGTTTAGTGGCAGTTTTGGCACTGTGTTAATGTTTGGATTTGACAATCTTAAGGTCCTTTCCAACCTAAACGACTCTACGATTCCATGATTCCCCTAACCTCAGGCTTCTGTGCTGCCTAGGGCACTCCTAATAAAGGTAGAGAGGGACAGTGTTTGTGTGCAAGCACCCATGAAACAGGTTCTGAATATTTCCTTTGGGTCTATAAGGGAGATTTCACCCCAGATCCATCCAAAATGTTATGAATCATGCTAGTAGTCCCTGGATAGTTCTGAGCATGAAAGATGGGCAGAAATTGTACATATTTCCATACGGAATCCCTTCCCACAAAAAAGTTCCTACAATTGTTTCTCTGCCTTCAATGCGATAAAGAGCTTACTGGTTTACTCAGTG